TGAAGAATCGTCTTTCAAAGGACGATGTAGGGCAAAAAGAAGGGTCAGGGAGGAATGTGGATGCTGGTTATATAAATAGGGTTGTGTATCAAAAATGCTTCAGTTGGAGCTGGGTTTGATACACAACCCTGGAGACAGTTGTGTCTTACAGCCCGAGGTGGCAAGCTGCCGTTTGTCCTGGCCTGGGCTTCATGCAGGTAATGCCAATACCTTTTGTCCTGGGAGGAGAAAAGAGTGGTGCCACTTCTGCAGGACCGAATCCTTGAGTGTTCCATGCAGTGTGATTAATTAAATTATTCCAGTGTTAACCTACTCTGGGCTTTGCTTTTAAAATGGATGAACAGAGGGGGGGGAAAGAAAAAGCCTAAATGCTGAACAGAGAGATTGAGTTTCTCCCTAGTACATCCCTAGGAAAGTCTTGCCTTTTATTTTAAGCCTGATGCCTTCAGTGAACTATCCAAGAAGACTGATTAGCAGCTCTGCATAATGACAGCATGGAAATAAGAGATGTGTGGCGTTTAGGCTGTGAAACAATGGAACTAACATAAAATACTAAAATTATTATGTGCTGTGTGAGATCTTGTTTTAAGGTTTAGGTAAAAATTCATGATTTGGAGTTCCAGCAGCAGGCTACGTTATTTGTTCTTTAAATCTGTTCAGAAATGTATGTATTTATTTCACTGTACTGGCTTCTGATGGAGATGATACAACAGCACTTGGCGCTGAAGCAAGTGCTCTCTGCTTCAAACTGAGGAAGACTCCGTTACCAAGAATTTTCCTTGCAGCCTTTCATTAGCCAGAATGCTTCTTGTAATGAAACCTCGTCCTTCCCTCCACAGCTGAATCTGGTATCGAGCGTCACGCTTTCCAAGACTGCATCCGAGGCATCTCCGCAGAGCTTACCTCATACTCCCACCACCCCAACTGCGCCCATCACTCCCGTCACACAGGGACCGTCGGTCATCACTACCACGAGCATGCACAACGTCGGACCCATCCGGAGGCGGTACTCGGATAAATACAACGTCCCCATTTCTTCAGGTAAAGGGGTTCTGGTGGTGCAGCCCCTCTGGTGGGGCAGCTTGTGTTGCCTGAAGCCCGGCAGCAGCAGGCTGTGATGATAACAGAACAACTGCTCTCATTTAGCAGATATTGCCCAGAACCAAGAATTTTATAAGAACGCAGAAGTTAGACCACCATTCACGTATGCATCTTTAATTAGACAGGTAAGCTGAGCCAAACACATGCATTTGGATTAGGGAAAAAATATCTCCCTATATATGCACGCTCTGGATTAAATAGATTTTCAAACCTTTGGTATGTAAGCGTGCTCAAATGCTCAAACCTTTACTATAAGGGTTTTTAGAACTGCAATATATAACATAATTGCTTTTGATTAAGTATTACAATACGATGTGATTATTAGGAAATTCATTTCACACAACAGTGAAAATGAGCCTGTTTAAAGATGGCAAGTCAATTATCACAAGCTACAGTAATCTCTGATCCCTAGAATTAATCTGAGCTCTAAATAATTACTGAGCTTTAATCAGCTAGTGAAATGTTTTGCATTTCTCTTTGATTCTGCTTTATGAATGACTGATAAATTAATATTTCTGTAAGGAAACAGAAATAAAAACTCAAAACAATTAGATAATTCCATTTTGAATTTTGCCATTGAACTGTTAAATACAGCCATTAATCTTAGTTCATATTGTGAAAACCCTCCTTTGGATTTTTTGCTCCAAATCTCTTCTTTTTACTTCCTTTCTTCCTTTCTGTGTTTGGTAAAGTAAAACTGTGAGTGTATTTTGTACTGGTGTGCTCATAACTGATGTTGCAATCGCTTTGCTTCACAAGGCCATCCTCGAATCTCCAGAAAAACAGCTAACACTAAATGAAATCTACAACTGGTTCACGCGAATGTTTGCTTACTTCAGACGCAACGCCGCGACGTGGAAGGTAAGCCTTGGCCCACCTGTGCCTCTTGCCTTTGCTGTCTGACATGTACAGAGTAGACCTTGCTGATGACATAACAAATTGAAACGACGTGTGGACATGAAAATCTAGATCGGCAGTTTTGCCACACACTGGGTGCCTTATCTGCAGGAACGATTTGATATTTGGCAGAAAAACTCTTTTGCCTTTGAAAACCACTAATTGAATCCCCATTATTGGCTTTTATGTTTTGTGATTATGCCACGAGTTCCTCTGTGTGGTTGCTGCTAGCAGTGAAACTCAAGCCCTTCAGCTGGAACGTATTAGGGAAGAATAAAAAAAGAGGTAAAGTTATTGTGTCAGTAGAAGATACACTGTTTGTCTTCTAGTTACGCAGACTAATCCCAACGACTGCTTTTTTCCCTAGGATCTATAGATCAGTGGATTCCTTTCCTCAATCAGTTGACTCTTAACTGCATACAATGATCTGTTACAATCCTCCTTTATTTTTTAAATTACACAGCAGAAGTTTATTGAACAGCATATGGAAGAAGCAAGCTCCACAATAAGAAATGTGTTTTACAGAAATAAACTTGTTATTTGACACTTTAATTTCCTACCGTAACTACCTCAGATACTGTTAGATAAGAGGTCTGAGGAGTTAATTTTTTTTGATATTTTGGGGGGCTACTTCTCTTTATATATAGTGTTATAATAGCCATGCTGGCTTCTGAACCTAGTGCAATGACAAAGGAATTCATCAAATAACAGGATCTTGTATTGCTGTAAAAATTGCACCCCTGGTACTTTGAGCCTCTCTTAATCTAGGCAACTCTGTTGCTCTCAAGCAACTTGAAATGACCAGGTAGGATAAGTATGTCCCATACATGTGGTTTCATCAGCTCCTGTTTTTCCTGACTCAGTCTGCATTTAGGATTAATTCCTTTAGACGTTGGAGCTAAAAATGGTCCTTGGAAGTTAGCTTGGTGTTTAGTAGCATGTTTTGCTTTTAATTCAGATCCCAGCACAATGTTGTACATTTTTAGCTTTGGTCTAGAAACTCTTAGGTTCAGGAAAAGTCTCTGTGATTGCTGCTTTGATTCTTCACTGATGTTGGAAAACATGAGCAGTGTTTCACTTTGCAGCTTCCGTACTATCCAGAAAGGAAATTAACTTTCCCTGATTTAAGATCCTTTTAGACCTGCCTGTCTCTTGCTGCTGGAGTGGTTCCAGTAGGACTTTTCAGCAGTGCAGGTGTGGGTGCTAAAGTAAAAATCCTGTTTAATTCCAGCAGCAAAGGGAAGGGAAATGGAAGGGGAGTGGAAGAAGGTAGCAGGCAGCCCTGGCTGTATTTCCTGCGAGGCTAGTCTTAGGAATTAGCTTTGTGCATCACATAAAATCCAGTCCCAGAAGCCACATGCACTTGCAGTGTGCTTCTGCAGAAGAGGACAAGGGACACTGAGCTGCAGACCCTAAGGGCTTGCAGAAGGGCAAGGTGTGTCCCAGGGAAGCTGGTACCATTTGGAGACCTTGTGCAGGTGTCCAGGTCCTGCTTCACTTTACAGGGAGGAAGAGCTTCACCCCAGCTTCCACCAGCACTAGCAAAATTTTCAGCTGCTTCAAATAATAGAGGTTTTCCTGCTAAGCCTTCAGGAACAGCAGGGATGAAAATGCAGCTCTGGATTGGCATGATGGGAAGCCCACGGGGCGCAGAACAAGCACAAGGGGCTAATTGCAGAATCAGAATAATTTGAATATATACGTGCTGATTTGTGCTCACCTTCAGCTAATGCTTGGGGGGCATTTGGGTTAGTGTTCCCCAAGTTTAGGGTCAGGGTTTGGTGTGAGCATGCTTCCCTGAGCCCTCTTTTAAAAACACAGAAGAGTGCAGGAATAAAGACCTTTACAAAATGAACCTCTTTCCCAAAATGCAGTACAGCAGAGCCTGAGCAGTTATTAAAATAACAAACCCTTTCATTTACTACATTCAAGCATGTTCAGGGTAATTTTTGTGCAAAAGTGGCTTGCATACAAATATTTTTAACAAGGTAAATATATAATCTTACAATAATAACTCCTAATTTTTCTGTTAAGCTGATTGCTGGGGGAGCACTGTGAACTGGTTCTGACAGGTCAGAGGCAATGTCTGTTTGCTTTTGAGTTTTTGGAGTAATTTGCTGGCACTGAGTCGCAGCCATGAGGCACAGGCTGCAGGTGTGGCTCCAAAACGTTGGGGTATTGTTCAAATAAAACTGTTAAGATAGCAAGTATCCAGAGGCAGGGGAAACAAAACAATTCTTTTCTGCCATGAATTCCTTAAATGGGTGATCATGTGGAAAACAGAATGTGAGGGCAACGCTTCATGGACATCTTGCAAGTATTCAACTTTGTCTCAACATATCCAGCAGCCTTAACCATCAGTTGCACATTGACTTCAAGAGAACACAAATGGACTGTAGAGTATTTCTCTAGCATTAAAGAAGAACACAAATATTTCTGCTCAACCATGTATTTAGAGGCTGTTTACAAATTTAGAGATCTCCCTTTGCTGAACTTTGCTGTGTGTATTTGATCAACTGCTGTATGAACTACAAGATCAGCTTTCACTGAGGGAAATAGCATTATTATTCTTACATTTTGCTCCAGACTTGACAGTGTTCCCATTTTCACAGGAAACTGCCTGAGTTACCCAGATGTGGGCCAGCAGTCCTGTGTCAGGTTGCACTAGTGCTGCACCCGTGAGCAGTTGCTGAGCTGGCTGATTTTAGCCCATAAGGTGTGGGGCGTTTGCTTGTTTTTCCTCCACCTCAAAATCAGGGGTTTTGCCAAAAATTTCTAAAGTATTGAAACCTGGAAGAGGTGGGAGGGAGAATAAAAAAAAGTCATTGAAAAGAAAGGGCAGAAGAAAGTAAGGACAGAAGGAGGTGGCCTTGATGGGAGTGGTTGGGTCTCCTCTACATTTCTGCTTTGCTGAGAGGAAAAGCATGTTCGAGGTTAATTTTTCCACCAGTTCACAACCAGATCAGTGTGGAAAAGCTGAAGTGCCAGGATCGGGCACCTACAGCCAGAGGAGACGCGTTTGCACTCAGGCATCTGCTGCGTGAAGGCAGTTTGAGCCCTGAATCTTTTCCTGCACCACAGGCAGGAGTGTGGGGACTGTGCTGGTGATTGCAGAGAAATGGAAAAGTAGCAAAAGACCCTTAGCCTTCCCCTCCAAGGCACACACACCACTGCCTCTTAATTTACATGACAAATGCACTGTGCATACCCTTTGTTTGCACAGTGATTTAGACATTCATGATTAGAGCTCCTTTTCACCATCCAGACCCGATGTTCATCATAAAGAAAACCAATAAAAAAAAAAGGAAGACAACGAAGGAAGGAAAAAAATTGTAGTCTCTTAGTTGCTTAGACCTAGGCCATGTGTTTGGCTGGCATCGTGCCTGCTAACGAGTCAACCAGATTGACTAAATCAGTGGTGCCAGTGATACGGAGTTTGTTCGCCTGCATATTCTCAGCAAATGGCTTCTTCTGTTTTCCCTGTTTACCAAGCCCCTTTCAGCAGTGCTGGGGACAAGCTCCATGTATAAATTCCAGTGGCTTTGTAGACTCATAGAATTGTTCGAGTTGGAAAAGACCTTTAAGATCATCGAGTTCAAATGTTGTAGTAGACTATTTGCTCAGAAAGCTCCTAAAACGGGGAAGGAGCATGGCACTCCATTTGAGGAATAGCAAGGCTTTCGGCACCATTTCAGAGGGAGCAAGGACAGAAAAGCCAACAGCTTGCCAGGGCATAGTAAGGTGTCTCATTATGTCTGGCTTCATTAAAGGTCCAAGCACGTTGGAGAGGTTGGCCTGGCTCATCCTTTTGCGGCACCAAGCTGCAGAGAGGACATCTGAGCATCGGATGCCATGAGCGCGGGTCCCTCTGGGTGATGAGCTGTGGGGATATTATCACTTTGTTCCAGAGGGCCCTCCTCATGTTTTCACTTGGCAGAGGCTCAGATCAGTCAGTACAGTAGTCTGCCAGAAATGGGAGCCAACTTCCATATAAGAGCAGGCCATGGAGGCAGGAGTCGGTGCCGTGCTGGCTGGTGGGGTGCTGCCGAGCCCCCGGTCCATGCCATGGGTATGGAAGGACATTCGGCACCTGATTCACATTAGCCCAGCTGTGGGAAGCCACAACAACACCAGCTCCAGTGCCTCCCTGCTAAATTGAGCCGTCTGTACTTGTTTGAAATCCTTTCTAACTGCTTCCTTTTCCAGGAGGGGAGAAGTTTCTCTTTACAGAGCATATATATTTGTTTTGAAAATGTCTGAGCAATGTTCCTCTTGTATTCTGTATGAAATGTGCTGTATTGTACAACGTGCATGCTTAAAATGATGGCTCTTCTCATTCACACTGGGGATAATTGATAAGAGTAACTTGAATTTTTAATCTTGGGTTTAAGCTCGTATTTATTTTGTCTTTGCAAAAGAAGATGTAAAGCAAGCGGGTGCGGGGAGGGGAAGGGGCTTAACGTTGCAAAATGAGGACTGTCAAGCTGACTGTGCTGCTGTTCTTGGACAATGATGAGCATTTTCTCATAGAAAGTTTTTGAATGTTTTCTCTTTTATACTTGCTGCAGAATGCAGTGCGTCATAATCTTAGTCTTCACAAGTGTTTTGTGAGAGTAGAAAACGTTAAAGGGGCAGTATGGACAGTGGATGAACAAGAGTTCCAAAAACGAAGGCCACAAAAGATCAGTGGGTATGTCCACCATGTTTGAACTTCTTAGCCTAGCTTGGATCATGCTTACAGTTTAACGTAGAGGCTTTTGGCTGCTAGCTGGTGTTAGACCAACCACAGGTGGTTTCGCATTGTTTCAGTTAAGGGAAACCAAGACAAACATCTCATCACTACTGTTTGTATGCCCACCAGTACCCTGACCCTGCTTGCTTGGTGTTTGTTGCATCACATGCTAGTAGCTTTTAGGTGGCAATGCATATTAACCCTCACAAACCATTTGCTTATGCTTATTGCATTTTATTTTCTTTTTCCTTTTCCCTGTATTTGATGTCTGTTCTGTCCCCGATCCCGTGTCCCTTTGTTTCCACTTCATCTCCTTTGCTGCTGCTCTTGTCCCAGGGTGCCATTCGCACCAACCTCTCACTGCATAAGTGCTTTATCAGAGTAGAGGATGAGTTTGGGTCCTTTTGGACTGTTGATGATGAAGAGTTTAAACGTGGCCGTCATATTCAACGAGGCCGTCCTCGAAAATACTGCCCTGATGAAAACTTTGGCGAGCTTGTTGCACAGTAAGAGCTTTTACTTGCTTTAATTTTTTTTTCTGCTGTTGCTTTGCTTTGCATGATTTACCCATCTCATGTAGACTTGCATTTCACAAAATAGTGACATCACCTTTGCTGCTAAAGAAACTAAGTTTTTGGTTGTTATGTGTATTTTGTGTGTCCTACTCTGATAATCCAGATGCCTATAGTAATAACTCTGCTTTAACATGCGTGTGATAGCATTTGTTTATAGTGCAATGTAGACCAAAATAATTAGCCACGCTAGTGAAGATCTGCTGCTGTAGACCTGTCAGGAAGACAGATACATGCCAGGAAAGGCTTCAGACGAGTTTTAACTCTGATATTTTCCTTTACTTTCAGTTGTATGCTTTGTTTTGCAAAGAAATAGAGTCAGGTGCTAGAAACGCTGAATTAACTTTAAAAAGTTTGGAAGTGCAGTGTGATCAGCTGTAAAGATTATAATCAACAGGCCAACCTGTGTCTACAACAACCATGCACAAATATTCCTGGGGTTCCCAAAGCAATTTTCTTTGACCTTTACTTGAAGGCCATCTCTCCAGGACAACTGATCCTTGCTGGTCCCTGTGGGAGAGGCTCAGTTAAGACTCTTCTCACCATGATTTATTCCCACGTGAAAAAAAACCACCCAATAATAAGTATAGCCAGTGAGTGATAAAACTTGTTGGAGATTTTTTGCATTGTCACTTTTTATCTAGTTTGTATTTGATGATTCTTCTTTAATATTTTTTCCCCCCGCTGGCGGAACCAGTGGTATTTAGATGCCTGCTACAGAGAGAGCAGATCTGCTTGGCATTCATTTTCCTCAAATCCGACCCCTTATGTAAACTTAAGATGACTAAAGTAAGGGTCCAGAATAGCACACCAGAATAGTTTTTATTAAAATGGCCTTTAGGGCAGCATGTTGTTCTTTGTGGTCTGTACCGCGTCGCTGCGGTGCAGCAGTACCTGCTGTCATGCCTCCGTGCCCACAGCCCTGAACTGGTAGGGGTGATGGTGTAGGCAGTCGCTTTCTGGCCATTGCCTGGCAGGAAGTAACGTGGCTCAAATCCTCTCTCATCGCAGTCCCCTGCTCCACTGCGAGGGACTCTGCTGCCAGCGACTTTGAGGATGATTTGCATGAAGCAGTATTTAAAATGTCCCGTGATGCTTTTGCTCATAGCTCCTCATGATGGACCTTTACATGGTAACTGGCTCCCAGACACGGCGAATATTGGAGAATTTCTCCTGAACACAGCTAAAATGAGCAGAGATGCCAAGATGTGCTACTAATGCAGGGTAGTAGAACACATGGCGAGGTAACGTTGAGAGATAATGATGTTCCTTATTTAGTAAAGGCAAATATGATAACTGTAGCCTGAAACTCAGACACTTTCTTTAAATTAAAAAAAAAAGAGAGAAATGAAGAGAGAACTTGTATGGAAAAGGAGTCTCAGCTCTAGTTTGCTGGTGTGGGAGGAAGCATTACATGCTTGAAACGCTCGCACAGAAGTTGGTTGCATTTAACTCTCTTTTTTATGTTTTTCTTATGCAGTAACCCTTCTCTTATTAAAAACATACAGACCAGCCACACCTACTGCACACCTCTCAATGCTGCTTTACAGGTAAGATTAATGACTGGAGCAAATATGCAACAGAGGCGTGTGTCTTCCCCACTCATTTCAAAATATATTAGCCTTGCTCTAATTAGATATTAAATTTTAATTCCGTTAAACTTTTTTCTTAAGTGCATAAAGCATCATAGTCCCTGGAGGCAAACACATATCAGGCTGCTTCAGCATTAGCTAGATGCTTAGCATTTTGAATATTGTGGCAAAAAAATTAAAAGTTCACTTATTAATATTTATCAGCAGTATCATAATTTCCATCCTCTTATTTCAGAATTTCACTTGAGGCAAAAATACCACAAGTGTAATTACTCTAGCACAGCTATTAATGTGCTGAATGATAGGATACTGCAGCACGTGACCTTCTATTGTTCATGGGTTTAAAGAGAAAGCAGATCATTTTTCCCCCTTTTCTTTTAAGGGCTATTTTTGCATATCTTCCTATTGTTAGTAGAAAATAAACGTCGCAATTCCTATAGAAAAAAAGAAGGTTATTTTTATTGATTTAAACTGTAAGACACAAATTCTGTTTTTTCATTCTGTAGACATACACAAGTGTTGGTGCACAATTAATAACTTGCAGCCTAAAAGTGTGCATGTCTCCAGCTCTTTTTCATGCGCTGTGTTTTTTTCCCCTCTCCACAAATTCCTGAGTCTATCTCAGAAGCACCAGGTAAAGTCGGTATTTGCTATGTGAAACAAAGATATGAATGCATTACTGTGCCCTGAATTTGCAAGGGGGTGTGTGTATGTTTGTGTGGAGTTCAAGCCTGTTCCGTACATTGTGAATGAATCCGTGTGTGGTTGCACCCCAGTTGTTTGTTGGGGGTTGCTTCTCGAGAAGTTCATTGATGGCTGTGAGTATTTGCTTGGGCGACTGCATTTTGTGGAAGGTTTGGCAGACTTCTCTTTGCAGAACCAAGAAACAGATTATTAGGAGAAGAACAAATGTTTCTTCTAATTTGAGTTCATGCAGTAACTTCTGAAAAGCAGAGGAAAGCATGTTTAAATGCAGCAACTGTAAATACCATTCATTAGTAACTTATTTTCCCTTGAGTCTTGTGAAGTGTGATTTTTTAAAGACTGCTTTGTCTCTTGAATAGTATTAAGATTACAAGCACATTTTACATTCATGAGGCTGAAAGGCAAAAACGAAATGATCCTGCATTTCTTCACATTGTTAACTATGTGACTAATTTCAATTAATATGCTTGTCATATGGAACTGTTCATGTTTTATTTCTGAAACACGTGTCGTTGTCGTCATCTCCATCCATTCTTGTCTTTCATGATAACCTCCAAACTGTTCCCATTTCCCTCTTTTCCTGGAAGTGACATGTATTCATGCCCACCCCCCCATAGGATCGTGTGAACTGAGTTGATGGAGAGAAGAGCCTGGGCCAGATTTGCTACCGCTGTGACCCCTCTAATAAAAGGGGGTGAACAATATACATTGCAGTGGACAGGGCCTCTTTTAGGTTGAAAATGTACCAGCAGGTTCATCACTGCTCTCCCCTGTCATTGGATTCTGGAGGCAAAATTCCACCAGGTGCTTGGATGCCATGCAGGGGCTTGGGTGAATCCATCTGTGTGGCTGGTTCCATGTTGGCATTTTGGACCTCACTTGGGCAGCAACCTTCCTCTTAGGACACAAAGCCACTTTACCTGCCAGTGCCTATGTTCAGCCTAATTAATAATTAACAAGAACTGTTCCTTAGGCTTTTGCAGTCATCACCAAAGACTGGTTCTTTGCACATCCCTGGGATGGCAGGCGGGTTTTCTTTCCCTGTGGGGTGGCAGAGCTGCCCCTCTCCTTCACCCAGACCCCTCTGACATCTCCTCCATCTGTTTTCCCTTGTGAGAGGAAGAAGCAGCAGCCCTCTCCCCTCTGTGTGTGGAAAGGACTCCAGCTCTCACCAGAGCTTTCTTTTGCCAGCGGGTCACCGAGGGCTCCCAAAACACCCCCCTCCCCTCTTACTATCTTTATAGCTGATACTCTTCGTGTCCCACCTCTCCCCCAGTAAATTGCTTTACTGCAATTACAAGTTATCACTATGGGTGAAGAACTTGAGTCATTATTTTGCCAAGTGCAGGAAATGTGAACCATTCTTTGCATCCCCTAATCACAATGAGTTTGCCGGTTGTTGAATCAAGAAGATAAAAATAATCCTCCCCGTTAGAATAGCTTTTGTAATCATGTGTGACACATAGGGCTGCACATGGAGAGGTCAATGTAAGGAAGAATAAAAGGGGCTGTGCTCCTGAAGATGCTGCAGTCAGTGCTGGTCATTCCTCCCCTTCCCATCCTGTCTCCCGCAGCCCAGTCTCTCTCTGTGCCTGCAAACAACTCTGCTGGCTCGGATGGCAACAAGCAAGGAGTTTTCTCCCATGAATTAGGAGCAGGCGAGAGCATTCAGTGGAGAGTACATTTGCATGGATTCCCCTCCCATGGGCAGGGTTTGCATCACGCAGACCTGGAGCCTGGTGGAGTTTTTGGCTTCGCTGCTGCAGCCGGCTGACCTCCTCCCGGAGCAGGTCGAGTGCTGCCGAGCCAGAGTCTGTGGCTCTCCAGCACTCAGAGAGCTGTGGATGATGTCAGCCAGATCCGGCTGGGAAGGGTGAAATGGTTAAATGTCCTTTGAGTCCCTGGGTGCTACGGCCTTGGAAAGCCGTGCATCCCATCCCTGCCAGATGTTGGGCTCCTCTGGGGCTCGGGGCTTCTGCGCTCCCACTGCTGCCACGCTGGGCGCAGGACTGTGCCGTCAACATGAGCTAATGCTGACACACAGTAAATATTAGCAGTCAGAATGGTGGGAATCAGAAGGAAAATATTTAACAGTTCATTCTCTTCCTGCAAAGATTTCCATTTAGAAAGTTAACTCCGGTGTGCCTCTGCATGGCATTTCTTTAGAACAAGTTAAAATCGAAATAAAATGGTCAGGTCTGTAATAGCTAAGCTAAGAGCTGAGCTGCTGAGGCTTAGAAGATTTACGTGGTCTGGTTCAGCTCTCGGGTAGATCCATGCAACTTGACTGATCCAGTCTTGGGACCCAAGGAAGACCAAACTTGGTACCACTGCCCTCCTGCTTGGTACAAAGTTACCAGCTGAGCAAGTCCAGATTTTTTTCCCCATTTCATTAAAAACAAAACCCAAACCCAAACCTAAGCCACAAAAAACCCCAAAGCCCCAAACACAATTTTGCAAAATGAAAATAGGAAGAGGACGTTTTATTTTTTCCAGGGGGTTTAATTCCAAATAGGGAATGGAAAGCTCCATCCTCTCACAGGCCAATACAGCTATGAATGCTTAAACCCAGATGTAAATGATGTTAAATTTCCCTTGGTGGAATCAGTGTAATACCTATCAGAAAGCACAATATTTTAAAACCTGGTAATTGCAAATAATGTAAATGTGGAGAATGTTTTGGAAGAAGTGAGTGTGTTGTACAACATATAAAAATGTTAGTCATGGCTCCTCAGATATTTGTTTGTGTCCTTGGCAGGCTTCAATGGCTGAGAACAGTATACCTCTATACACTACTGCTTCCATGGGAAATCCCACTCTGGGCAATTTAGCCAACGCGATGAGGGAAGAGCTCAACGGTGCAATGGAGCATACGAACAGTAACGGGAGTGACAGTAGTCCAGGACGTTCCCCTATGCAAGCAATGTAAGTACGGCAGAGGCACGTCCGTGGCTCTGGGGTTGTCTTCCTGTCTGCTGAAGTGTGACTCTGGAGACCTTTGTGGTTGGTTCCTGAGGTTCATGGATGAAGTAGCAAGAGTAGGTATCTCCATCTGGGGACATGCTTAGGTTCTTTAGAACATAAAAGGGCTGTTTACCAGTTTCTACATAAAACATACCAGCTTAATCCAGTCCAACAAGCACATGAAGCTATAAAATTGTTGTTCTCAATTCTTGTCTTTAAACTTAGCAAAATCTCATAGGCAACTGTGTTTCTTGGAGAAAAAAGTTGTGATTTCTCTCCCCTTTGGTCCATGCAACAAGTGCGGCCGATGGAGCAGAGCTGGGAAATGGGCTTGTTTGGTGGGTCTAAAAAGAACCACTCAACACACAATGGTCTTACTAGGCATTAACGATGGCACACGTGAAGGTCTGCTTGATTTATAGATTGCTCTTAAAATATCAAAAGGAAAATTAATAGGAGCATTATAGCAACAGACGGCAGTATAATGAGGGCATATATAACCACATGAAGTAATGTGGGATCTCTGTCCCTGCTCAACGTGAATGGTACCCGGGCAGCAAGCTGGCGCAGGAAAAGGGTAAGGCAGGAAGGGTGTGATGCCCCGATGGGTGTGTTCAGTATTTATGGGGTGATGGAGTGAGTTTGCAAAGCTGTAAACTCTCCCCTCCCCTCACATTACACACTGGGTAATTGGCGGCTGGTGAGGAAGCTGGAGTTTCTAAGTCCTGTAGTTCTCAAGCAGTTGGGTACCTATGCAAACGGCTGCACAAGAGCCACGCTGCCTTTCTGCTCCTCACAACAGGCTGTAAAATTACTGGCTGGATTGCCACGGCTCACATTACACATTAAAAAGAGAACTAATTTGTAGTCTTTTACTTCAAAGTAATTTGAATGGGGGATTTACAAAAGTAAGTCTAAATCAAAAAGTAGAAAAACATTAACCTAATACCATGATCGTAATTAGTTGTGAAACTAATTAGCATTTAATGGCAAAAAAAAGTTTCCCACCTGCATAATGTGTTGTCAGAGGGGAGGGAGCACGAAGGAATCTGAGGCTCTGGATACTTTGATATTGCAGCATTTTAAATCAGTGCACAAAGTGCTTTGAAAAAAAACTTTAAAGATGGCAACATTCATTTTTAATTAATAATTAATTTAAACATTGTCTTTCACCATTTACTTCAAAACATTCAAATAACGTGTTTAGCTTTTCCAGTAATTGTTTGTGCAGTATTAATTATCTCCCTCCAAAGTAGCGTTGCATGACACACTTTCCATCCCTCACAAACGGATTCATCTTGAGGCAGTTTTAGTCACAATTCGTTATCCTCTGCCCCGTGACCATGTAGGGCTGGCGTGAAGGAGGAGTGGGGGGACGTGGCTTTTCTCCAGAAACAAGACTTCTCCCAAGGGTTTCTCCTGGCCTAACAGACAGGGATGAACGTTTATGATGTTGCGTTAATCCAAGTAATTATTTTTTAGCAAGTTCAAGGCTAGTGTAGTTCATGCACTTCTCATTTCACCTAAGGTTTTGTTGTCTTTGAAGAGACTGCAAGGAGGGAAAAATAACTGAGTTGAAACAGGCTAGGACATCTTCCAGAACTGTGCATAGCTGTGGCCTTTGTTGCACTTAATAATCATCTCTTAGCACATTGATACCAAGGTGAGGGGCACAGAACAAATACTGGAGAGAGAGGAGGTCAGGGGGAGCGATGCCTCATTTTCATTATTCACCAGAAAATCCAATTTTCTGTTGTAATATGGAAATGATTGTTTCCTGAGTGTTTTCATTTTCTCAGAATTGATAATATATGTGTTCTCTGCTCAACATTTCTTTTTGCTTAAGTAAAATGTGGCCGGGTGATGTTCCAATACCAGCCTCTGAGCTTCCCCTTAAAATGGTGTTTCTAAGTAGTTCGAAGGGATCTAGAGCCAGAACACCATTCACACATCAGGGGGTTTTACCCTGTTTACTAAATACAGCCATGAGTCAACAGCAAATTTCCAGACGCTGTGCAACCTCTCCTTTCCCGTCAGCCTGCTTTGCTAATGACATTTTCCATTTTTTTCTCAGAACAGATTTCCTTGTCATCATGCAAATTATTTTTTAAACAATTTCAGTATATTAGAAGAAATCAAGCTTTAAACTTTATTGTAAGGTTTAAAGGACCTTGTTAACATGACAGCTAAGAAGTCTAACACTTTAGCTGAAGTCTTATTACCGCTCATTCGTTTCCTTTTTATGACACATTGAACCACAGCTAGGTTTTTTTCTTTTTTTTCCCCTTCTCTCTCCCTCCTTTTGAAACACTAGAAAGTAGTCGCATAATTACAGCTTGGGGACATAACACTTTCATCCTGATATGCTCCAAAGGTAGCCACAAAGCAAACTACTCCATGCTGTGTGCACCACCAGTACTCAGTGGCTTTAAACAACAGTCAGCTTTATTAAAAACTCCTCTGTTCCCAGAGTGGACAAACAAAAGAATTACTCAGATGTGAAAAGAAGGGGAATCTCTGTTCAGCAAGGTTATTTATTGTTAACCCCTTCTGGAGTCTTAGGCGTCTACTTAAAAGGAATGTGCTGAGATTCTGCTACTATAAAAACAGAAATGGGAAACCCTTTCTTTTTTCTTCCCTTTCTCTCCCCCCAACCCCCCATTTTTTTTTTCCTTTTTGCTTAGGCCAGCATTTACCTTTTCTGTAATTCAAGAGACTGAATTCTTCAGTCTCTAAAGGAAGTTTTCCTTCCCCCAGTTTGGGGTTTTGGTGAGGTGGTAAATGGAGATTCAGATTTAACTTGAGAGATATGAAAGTCTCCCTTTGCCTTTGAGCTTATTTAAGCTTATTTATTTCAGTTGCTCTGAAATGTTTGAGCAAAATCACGGATTCAGTAAGGTTTCCTCCTCACATGCTACTTCGTGGTTACAACTGACACAGTACACAAGGAGGTGATTTTTTGTTGTTGTTTTCCTGGCAGATCTCTCTCTGTGGGGTGTATTTCCCAGATATCCTCCTAATTTGGGGGATGGAGTTTTTGCCAAGCTCAGTCTCTGATGTCTGCAACACGTGAGCTGCTGGAGGAGGCTGGTGTGGCTGTGCCTCCCTGTGGCTTTGTGGCCCTTTCCGGCTTTGTCTCGCTTGGGGTCAAACAGCCCTTTTCACAACTTGGTGCTTGCTTTGCTTTTCACTCCTGAAGTTTTGGGCTTTTTTGACTTCTGGGAACCACACCAAACTAAAGAGAAACTCAGTTAAAACCACCTGGTTTCACCTGCTTTCATAACAAAACCAGAAGGGGGGCAGAGTTTGCTTTGGAAAGGTCCAGGGACCTTTGCAGGAGCTTTCGCAGCATTTTGGGTGGTTAATACACTTACATACTGGCACCGATTCCCTTCTGCCCTCCGGCCAAGGACAAGATGGTAGAATGCAGCCTTTGGAGAAACTCTGGTCCATGCAGCAAGGCCACCTCAGCTGCATGTGACGTGTGTTCTCCTCTCTCCTTTTAACATTTCCCATTTGCATTTTCAAAAATAATACTTTTTAAACAAGAAACCGAGCACAAAACACACAAGCCCAGCAGCAGCATCAAAGCCAGAAACCAGCAAACAGGACTGCTAAATTAAAGCAGTTTTAAAAGAGATCACTGCCATAAAGGCCGGGTAGCACACACTTTATCCATCTCTATGTGTAGGCGCTTTTCCCCCGTTTTTCTTCTGTTTTTCATTTCATGTTTTCTCCCAAGTGAGGGGCCCCACAGCCTATTCATAATACAAGTTTTCCTAGTTGCAAATAATCAGCATGGTTTCACGTTTGTGAGGGCCACGAGCTGCCAGGACAGTTACCACCTCTGCAGTGCCGGTCTGCTTGCGAGACTTTTGATACGCTTATGCTAATTCCTAACCTCTGATGTTTGAATCATCTCCTCCCAGTACTTTTTTACCCCTCCTTTTTCAATAATTAGGTCAAAATTGTACAATCGATATCTCTCTCATCGTATTTTTTGCAAAAATTATGCAACTTGCAGAGGAACCCTTTTGCTCCCAGAGTGTGTTGATAGGGCATGTATCCAACCCTACCCACTCTATGATTCTATGATTTGAAGGGGATAGAGGTGTGTACATGGATATTGCGTCACTTCTTCCTTTGTCGGGTGGGTTGGAAGGTGCAGTTAATACTTCAGTATTGATCTTCTTGACTTTACAACTCAAGAAGCTGAAATATGTAGGTACTTGAAAGGCATTCACAGCTCGCATTAGAAATGTCTGTAGTCAGCAAGTTAGATGCTTCTTAAACTCAAGCCAAAATAAATAGCAGGGTGTGGTACAGCTTTGCACACTGTGCAGGGGTACAAGTGGTTCACCTCGCTCATTTGCAGTAGGCAGGGTACCTTTGGCTTGTACGCAGCTACCAAGCCCATTTTCCCTGTTTGATGATTTATTCTTGCTGTCCATCAGTGCAGCAGAGTACAAACAGTATTGTTGTTCCTATCCACACAGACCATAAAATAAAATGCAGCTATTTTAAATCATTCATTTTAAAGCGAAGCTGCACTAGAGAGAAAAAGTTCTTACAAGGAAGGTTTGCGCTTCAGATCGTGGTTGCACAGAGCCTATATGAAAGGGTTAAATTAGCCCTTGTGGAGAAAACCCAAGACTCTAGGAGGTGGATATCAACTCAATGAGAGACAGAGTGGGACTTGAACTCATTAACACTTTATTTTAAGGGATTGCCTACAACATCAATTATTTAGGAAGCAAACAGGGTCTCCATTGCTGTGTCGCATTATTAATACTTGGTAATGTCAATAAAATCCTACTTTCCTTTAAAGTCCCAGCAACAAGACACTATTGACTCACATGGCTATTTTACATTTCAAAAGCTGTTGAACAAAAAAAAAGGGGGGGGGGGGGGGGGAGGTAATTTGTATTTGTATAGGATTTGTTGTAAATATGATTTACGAACAACAATTTTCAATTGTTATCATACCCGTTTTGAATGACCAAGCCCTCTTCCCCCACAGGTTATTCATGTGTGATGCCGTAACGAGAAATTTGGCAGATCTCATCTCTTTAGTACATCCTTGTGCCCACCACGAGCTGGGGATCATGTTCTGCCTTGTTTACAGCTGACAGTGTTATTATTCTCTTTAGGACTGTGCTTTCTTATCATATTGTTGTGTTGAGCAAGCCGTTTCCTCTCTGTTTGTGTTTCCTGGCAGGGCTTTTCTTCCCTTATTGACAGTTTGTAAAAATATGCATTAATTTGGAGTTTAAAGCATGTATCATGGTGTCTCTTTGCTGTGTTTGCTTGAAGTTGATTAATGATAGAACCTCACTTGGGGTCGTCCTCTGGAGAGTTGTCTCACAGGTTCTGCATGTTAACGAGAGACGCTGCACACACAGCGCGCGATGATTAGCCCAGCCTCCGCCGGCTCGGCGGGCTGGCGAACTGCTGCTTTACCATTCGGATGCTTATTCTGCTTATTTATCCAAAGATTGTATTAACTTAATATGTCAGCTGAGAGCGTTTTTCTCTCGATCCTGAGACGGAAGCCCTATCGAGGTGCTCCTCCCAGAGTGTTTTCCCAGGGAAGTTGATTGCTGCCTGCCCAGTGTAGCCTTTGCTCGGCTTCAGTGGCTAGTGCAGAATCTGAGGGTCTTCTCCTCCGTGACCTGGAGCTCTTAGACCTAGTGCATCAAGTCTGAACCCGCAAACCACCTTATATTTCTCCCCAAATCAAGCTGTGAAAACCATTTTTTAACAAGCAACTTGCTGATTGACCATGGTTTTGTTTTTCCAGGCACCCCGTGCATGTCAAAGAAGAACCGTTAGATCCAGATGAAAATGAAGGCCCGCTATCCTTAGTGACAACAGCCAACCACAGTCCAGATTTTGATCATGACAGAGATTATGAAGATGAACCTGTAAATGAGGACATAGAATGAGTATGTCTGACATCGTTATGCTGAGAATGAAGATTGGAAGAACGCGTCAAACTTAGCTGTGAAATCTCTCCATTATTGTACAGTCTGGAGGATTCTCAGTCCACTTTGACAACTATGAAATATGTTAACTCTTAGTGCCATCAAGTATCCCATTTGGGAGTATTTTTGATTTTTCTACTTTTTGTTGAAAAAAGGAATTTGTACTCTGTGCATTGGATGGACTTGTTTGGTACTTGGGATTTTCCTCTCTTACAGTCAACATCAGTGTTGTAAATTTGCTAAACTGATTCACTTGCATTTAGCAGCCAGCTGTGGACTGCAGGTCCTGCCAATTTTGGACACTTGAGGACATCAAACTGAGCATGTACACCTGAACTGCAGATCAAGTCTTTGCCCAGATTTTAAGGATTCCAATGGACAACATATTTGCACAGTACTGCATGTTGATTATCACTGCCTTTACTCCATATTTTTGTTTTTTGGTTGGTTTCTTTTTTTTTCCCTTTTTTTTTTTCCTTGTTTTTTTGCTTCCATTTGGGATGGGGAAGGCCTGTGTGTGCACGTGTGTGGATATGTGTGTGTGCGTGTGAGCGTGTATATCGGGGAGGGGTTAAAAGAAAAAATTATCCCAAACATTTTAATGTATTGCTTTTATTCCCCCGCCCCACTTCTCCTCTACCATTTTAAGTTCTGACCTCAGGCCTCATCTGGGCCCAGGGCCTCTCGGAGGCTTCAACGTTTTCTGTACTTTGTGATGAATGTTAATAGGTGTTTTTATTATACGAAGCTGAATGTCATTGAATTGTTTGTAGTTTTTTCTGTCATTCATTCCAGTTTCCTTCAGATGCCACCATGTTTTCTTTAGCTATGGAAAACATTCCATTTTGGTGTCTCCTTTTTTTTGTTGTTGTTTTTTGAAAAGGTCCCAAATGCTGCACGATACATGTGGAAGGGTTGTCCAGCGGAGAGAGAGGAACGAAGTACTGCAAGAATGAGAATGAATGACAGATGAACATAGAAACACTGTAGGAAGCAACACAGATTCATTCCACAAAGCAGTATTTTTAATATATTTTTCTTTTTTTTGGTTTTTTGATTATTTTTTTTTATTACTTTTTTTTGGCAGCAATGGTGAATATTAGCAAATGCCACAAAATTGAACAGCACAAAGAAATATATGCAGCACCAACAGAGTTCACTTTTGTTAGAGGATGAATAGTACAGTGGCAGGTTCTTGGTTGTTTAACACGAGTTCTAATGGGTCAACAAATCTTTCTGGAATATCTAAGATTACAGAGATGGGCACCTATACATTTATTATTATGATTATTTTTTTTTTCTTTTTATGCATTTGCATTTGCAAATAGTGGTTGGAAAGATGACTTCATTAAATTGTTATTGTGCATGGTGATGTTTCACGGTTAAACATCGGTTCAGGATTGCTTGGTGGCATTAATCTGTTTGAATACAAATTAGATTTCAGATTGAACTTGTTACAGGAGTTAATAAGGACGGAGCCCCACTAATGCTAAAGTGTTAATTTTCAGCTGTGCAAATCCAGTACTGCAGTTAAGATTGTTATGCAATATTACACCAGCCAGTATGGAAACCTCGCCATAGGAGACAGGAGATGCAGGAGAGAATTTGCTTGTTAGGGAAAACTGGCAAGGCTCTTCAAAGCAAACATGACATACAAAATTTGTTGCGATAGGTCAATAAACCTCGGTCACCAAACACCTAAACATTTTCGTTCTGCAACCACTTTTCCGTCACTCATTTATTTATGTAGGACTGTAGCTTTTTTATTATTTCAGAAAGCCTTTCAGAGCTTAATTTATATTATTCTTTGTACCTTTTTTTTTTTTCCTAAAATTACCAAAGATATTACACAAAGGTAAATTATGTTCTCTGTTATATGCTTTATCTTATGAAGCCAAATATCCTCTTATTGTTGATCAAAGGAGGTTGAAGAATTTAGAGGGAAATGACAAGATGTGGGCTATTGCTAACCTGAGAGGGAAACTGCTCCTTTATTCTAGAAAATTTAGAAGGCCAAGTAGACGTCTGAACCAAAGTTACTACTTTTTATTTGCAATTCTTTACAGTGACCAAAATGAAAGTCTGTAAAGAGGAATCGAGGAGAGCTTTTGAGGCTAAAACTAGGAATCAGTGTTACTGGTGGAGCTATGAGAAGGGAGCTGGAGAAAGCAAAGACAGAGTTATTTCGTGGAAGATTAGAGTATCAGATAAAGGAGACAGTTTAATAAAAGACAGAAGAGAACAGAAAAGCTCCCACAATTAAACTGGACAACATAATAGTATTTCTAGAATTAAAAGAAAAACAATTTTTTGGTCTTTGGTTCTACAGATTGTGTGCCACTTCTGTTCCGGGACTGTGCTAGGATGACTGCTTGAATTTTGGTTGATCTTGGCACATTTGCTCAGTTTTGTTTCAGTTCTTTTTTTTTTGGTCAGCATTCTTCATAAGGAAATAACACTCCTGTCCACTCATAAGCTTTGGTACAAGAAATTTTATTGGCAGTTACTTTGATAAAAACTCAACTCTGCTTTCTGTTTCAAAAGCCGAAAAGAAAAAAAAAGGGCAGTCTGTGGTCATTTGAAACATTTTTTCTTTTCATTTAAATTATATCCAGGCAGCTTCGTGACGTGCCGGCGGTAGCCAGATGGGGATCATGAGAATTGAGCCCTGTGCTTCTAAACTGAGTGGTTTGCTGGTTAGTTCGGGATTCAGAAGGGGGATAAAAATCTGGTAGATTAGTTCATCCTCAGCATGTGTAGCTAGACATGAGTAAAGATAACAGCATGAGAAAACTGTTAGTACGCATACCTCAGTCCAAACTGTTAGGGAATGAGTAAATAAAAAGAAATACATTTCACTCAGTTGCACTTAGTTGTATGTCTTGCATGCTTAGTCTAAAGACTGTAGCAAAAACAAAAAAAACTTAAAAAAAGAGAAAAAGAAAGAAAAAATTAGATTTTAACATATCTGGCAGGTGTCGCAGCCTTGCAGAAGAACCAACTGAAAATCTCAGGCTTTACATCAAGCAAACTTCACTATGATTTTTACAATTCTGATTCTGTATCCCTTTGGATATACAGTTGCTTCTTTAGGGAGGGGTTTATTATGTTGTACATATATATCCCACTGTGTCTGTGTGAGCCTTTGTCTTTTGGGGGGAGGGTGGGGAGGGAGGAAAAGGTGGAAAGGTCCTTTTTTTTAGATATCATTCCTCAAAAGGAATAAATGCAGACCTGTTTGTCAAAACACCTTTTGCTTTTTGTGCAACTGCTTTATATTAACTATACTAAAAAAAAAAATAGCTTTGAAAAAAAAAAACCTACTGTATGTAATGGAATTGCAGAATACGCTGCACATGTATTTTATTTAGTTATCCTTGCTTTAAGAATATTGGATGACATTTGCTGACATGTGGGAGAAAATCCCTGACTTTTTTTTTTCCCGCAGCTTTTAAATTGTAACATAGTTGACAGATTTTTTTCCTTTTTTTTGGTTTGTTTTTTTTTTCTCCTGTTATCATTGATCGAAGCATTTTTGTACAGTTTTTGTGTTTAAGCTGGTTTTTTTGATACTTTCCCACCCCTTCTGTTAACCTTACCACTGCCTTTTCTGGCTGTCTTAAACAAAGTTCATATATTTGAAAGGAAAAAAAAGAAAAATCGTTTAAAAAAAAAAAAGAAAAAAAAAAGAAAAAAAAAAAGAACTGTTTTTCTCCTGCTGCAGTAAATATTTTGCATGATGAATTCCAGGGTCACACTTTCAAAGTTTATCAGTGAAGTAGTGATTAATAACGGGGAGTGTCAAACTATTGAACTTTTGTATAAAAAAAAACTTTACAAGGTGCCAAGATGTAAAGACAATTTGTTACATGTTTTTTTTCTCAAAGAAAAGCGTACATTATGAAAGTAGTACCATGTATCAGGTAAACCGCTGTCAGGAATGAGAGTCAAAGCCTTCCTTGTCCACGAAAAACCAACCCCAAGTTTGTAAATGTAAAACCTGTTGGGTTTCTGCATTCAACTCAAAGTGAAATGAAAAATCAAGGCTTATGTAGAGTAAGTGACCACAAACAATAACGACCGATTTTGATTCTCACTCGCAAGAGTCCCGCTGTTGGTCCTGCACCTCCCCTCTCCTGGAGCTCCCGCTTTGGGAAGAGGCCAGGGCAGGGATTCTGGTTCTACAAATACTGCAGATCATTAGATATTTTATATATATACATAC